AGGTTAACGAATAAAAATGCACATTTCTATCTTAAGTAAAATATGGATAATTTCTACCTTTAGAAAATGTGTTTTGATTTTAGTTCTCAAGATAGACATTCATTCAATACCACACTGAGTGCATGCACTGCAAGGTCAAATTACAAAATCCACAGAAATAGGTAGAGTTTTAGGGCCGAGGTGTTATACAGCACTGGGCTTCCCTTGGAGTCAGGACAACAGTACAGCGCTAGGCTCTGCTCTCCCTGGGAGGCTAGACAACATATGGCACTGTCTCCCAGAGAACAACACGCCACCCAAGCAGCCTGGCAGACTCAGTTTGTGTGTGTGTGTGTGTGTGTGTGTGTGTGTGTGTGTTTATGAATGTGTATGAGTGAGTGTGCTTGTGCCTGCCTGTAGTTTGTGCATGTTTGCAGATGATGGAACAAGAAAGATGCCTGCCAAGTTTTTTTTGCATGGCAGAAGAAATAAATTGATGATGTATGGAAAATGTCTTTTTTTCCCCTTCCATGTCCACATAAGCTAAACAGACATTTACAGGGCTTTCAGAGGGATAAGAAACAACCATATCCTGATGTAAACTCAGAGTACATATTTTTACCCAAGCTGTATCATAAACATGCTTGATAGAAGACGGAAGAACTAAATATTTCACTTTACATCTGGTTGTAACATTGGCCTGCTTGTTTGAATGTCATGCTATAAACCTTCCGCTGTCCAGAGACAGCATATTGTTGAGGATGCAGGACAGAGTTAGTGCGCTGAATTAGACGGAAGAGCGGAAGTCCTGATCGCCTGTCTAGCAGAAGAGTTTCCATTTTCAAGTGTGTGAGTTAAAAGGGAAATAGGAGAATCAATAAGGCATTAGTGGAAAGCCATTTAAAAAATCTGCAGCGATCTGAAACTACAGCCAGTAGGTCAGGAAGTTGGATATCATTTATTTAGTGTGAGTTACCTTAAGACTACAGTTAAATCAACTTTATTCCGTCCATTTGACCGTGCCGTCTGCCTCAGTTATTCAGAGAACGTGTAAATTACAATAACAAGTTGCAGGCATCTTCATATAACCTTTATTGATATACAGTGTTTGTCCCCAATGAATTTGTATGAAATATAAAGGGAGAGCATCTCTGCAAACAAACATGTCTGCTCTCTACAGTTAGTATCCTATGCCAACCCAAACAAAGCAGACCCACAGCATATAGCCACTTCAAATCCTCTAGTGGAGATATCGCTCTCGAAGGCCGTGATGAGAGGCTCGTGTAAGCAGCTCATCAGCAGCCTGTTTGCCCATATGTGCCTCACACCCCACAGTCCCCAGTGGGTCCTGGCTCTGTGCAGTGATACCATCTCATCTGCCAACATGGACCACTTGGGAAAAAAACAAAACCAATCCCCTCGTATGGTCGGCCTATTCTGCCCTCACTGGCATGTGTTATGATCTGCACAAATCTGCAGCCAGTCTCTCCACCAAGTCAAGTGACCAATCATACATAAGCCGGCCAGTAGGAACAAAAGAAATACGGGTGAATACAACACATGATTCAAAATCTTCTAAAATCCACTTTGTCTGATAATCAAATTGACAACAGACAGGCATTCTTGACTCAGGAGAGGCAGCAGTCTGTCAAATCACTACGGTGTGAATCCTCGGGGCCACTATTGATGATGACATATGCTGTGGGAAGCAGACAGACAGGAAAGCAGGGTCCAGTGTCATATCTGCAGTGTGTGCCTGCAGGTCCCGCGCGGCGACGGTTCGCTTATCCCCCTGCCACCGCACATATGTTTGGGAAACGGAACAGTTGGACGTGGCCGAGGGCTAAAATGGGTCAGACCAACACAGATGGAGAAAAAACTCCCACTGGGTCACTGTCAGATGACTAACACCCACAGAAAAATGTAAGATAATATGTATGTGTGTGTGTGTGTGTGTGTGTGTGTGTGTGTGTGTGTGTGTGTGT